CTGGAAGAGGATACCCGGTATCACTGAGATTGTTGTGTTATAAATACAAATAGATACACATAACCAAGGATTTCAACTGCTTTCAGTAGAGGCTTCCTCTGAAGTCCAAAGTTTTCCACATTCATTTCTACCCCACATTCTCGGAGTTGAAGCCACTCACATTATGTGCAGTGCTGCTATTAATGTAGATGGAATATATAGGCCCAAAGATTTAAAGGTGTTAACATGACCCTGTCACTGTCTGACATTAAACAAGATTTGGGGTTTGGGTATACAGACATGTTGGTTTGTTATTTGCATGGCAAACACACTAAAACTCATGCCAAAGTAATTTAGGAATGTATTATCTAAAATACGGGGGTGGGAGAGCTAAAACAAGTAATAAAGCTGTTTAAAATTGATAACGCAGTTTACAATTGGAATTAAAAGATATGAGACAAACTTAACTAACACCCATCAAAGTCCCTTTTGAAGAAAGGATATCAGTTCGAGTCCCTTATTTAGTTGGACAAGCCCTCTTAGTGGGGAGGAAAGGGTTCATTTCCGAGATGTGAAGGATGGTCACTTTTCCTGCTTTTGACAAACAGACAGACACAAGGGGGTGAAGCGAGAGGCTAGTAAGGGTAGCGAAAACATGGCTTTTGTTGATGTTCTTGAGATTCTGGGCAGCAGGTGTTGTATCCACCAGGCAAGGTATTAACAAACTTCAACAGAACTTTATTTACAGTGGAAATCTCTTTACCAAGCTGTAGCTGCACACTCTGTAACTCTCCCAGCCGCCTCAACTCCTCCCCCCTCCTTCCTGTTTCCTGTGCTTTCAGACTCCCAACAGCCAGTGCTCCCAGTTCTAATAATCACATGCAGCATCTAAACACCACAGCAGGTCAGTCATAGATAGATATTCTGCTATCATGGCTAACCTGCCAACCCAGTGCTCTGGGCTCTGGGTCTGCGACATCATCTGATTGCTCTGGTCCCTCTCGTGTACCAGTCTTTCTCAGGCTGGGCAGAACTGGGTAGAGCTGATGGGCTGACTTGTCTCATTGTGCTGGTGCTGTGTGATACAGCTGACCTCAGGATCAGATTGGACAGAAAACTGGGAGAAAGAGAAGGGAAATAGTGGGGCAGAAAGGAGTACACAAGGGAAATGGAGACAAAGCAGGATCTCAAGTGTCCCCAGCTGGGATCTAGTCTGCTGGTGTGTCAAGGTCTGGATTTCACGATGATGCTGTGACCTTTGGGATCCCCAAGCAAAGGATGAAGTTGCTGGAGTGAGGCACCGGCCTGAAAGCCTTCACCCTCTTCCAGGAATTCCTGCCACCAATTCATCAGTCCCACCCCCCAAAGTCTCTTTTTAGGGGCCCTGAGAGAGAGATGATGGGTGGAATAATCCATCTTTTCATTATTTTGTTCGCCAATTAGGCCTAATTTCTGACATGCCAATTCTGATTCACTGATTTCCAGCTCCACGCTTTTCTTATTCATAAAGCATGATTTTTAATACATTCCTTGTGTTATGTTGGTAAAAGCCTTTTGTTGAGACTAACTCACTCTAGTTTTTCACTTTTACTGATTTTTATAAACAACCTTATATAACAGTCTGAGTTGGACATTTGTGCCTTTTCCCCCATCAACATTTTCTGACATTTGTTATTACAGATGACAAAACTATTTTACAAACTTCCATCCCCTTTCCCACAGTTAGGCTCAGAGTTAGGATCACAACTGACGTAGGCCTTCTAGGCCCCAATTATTATAACAGTACTCATGTGATATTTGTTAAGTTATTATGAACATTTTAATTTCATTTATCACATTTAGTTGTCATAAAACTGATTTGTAGAAAATGTGCTTAAGTAGAGTTTAAAACAATGGATTGTGTACTTTTCTGAAGGGGGGGCTTCATTTATAATTTGAGTAAAATATATAATTGACATGATTTGAGCACAGCTGCTTATTTCTCCTGAATGGTTTGTTTAGTTTCCTGTTGGCTGCAATACTCTAGTCTAGTTTTAGTTGTTGGGTTTAGTGTGAGGGTGCTGGGTGGCTTTGGTGGACTGTGACATGCGTCTGACGAAGTGGGTATTCACCCATGAAAGCTTATGCTCCAATACATCTGTTAGTCTTAAAGGTGCCACCGGACTCTCTGTTGCTTTTTACAGATCCAGACTAACAGGGCTACCCCTCTAATACTGTAACATATCAGAGGTCACAGTAGATGATCCAGTGGTCCCTTCTGGCCTTAAACTCTATTTGCTTTTTCATAGCCTGACATTTCTCTCTCTCCTGGCTATAGGTATAATTCTTTTTATATTGATTGAATCTATCACACTATTTATTTTCCTTTTCAGGCATTCATCTCATACCACGTCCACCTTCTGCTTCTTCAGCAACAGTAGTTGACCCAGAAACATCACGAGGTTTAGCTGACAGACATGATCAATCCTAGATCAGGACAGGAAAAGTTGTGCTGGACCTGTTCTGTGATAACTAAAGGATTACATTCTGAATGGTTCCATGAAGATGATCTTACAGTTAAAGCAAATTCAGGATTTCACTACCAGGGGACTTGATTCAGGATAACTGGGTCCTATTTCTGACTCTTGTAGACCTCCTCTGAGACCTTGGGCAAGTCACAATCTTTCTCTGACATAGTTTCCTCTTAGGTAAAATGAGAAGACTATCAGTGATCTCCAAGTATAATCATTATTAATTATTATTATTATTATAGCTGCTTTCTTCCTGAACACAGAAATCATATGAAAAACAGTTCTAAAAATATTCTCAGCAGTAGCTCAATGGCAGCGGCTCAAAGATGAAGTACCGTAATTCAACCAGGCCAAATATGTAATTAGACACATCGGATGGCACTAAATTCCTATCAGTCAATTTCTGTGTCTTGCTACTTCCAGTGGAAGATACCAAATGCTGTTTATAGCTAGAGGCCACTTCCTAAATCTCTTCCAGTTTGCAACTTCCTCCCAATTCTTAAGAACCAAAACATTCTGGAATAATAATACCTATAAAAATCATCTTGATTTTTTTTTTAAAGCTGCAATCAAAAGCAGAAGATACCTGTAAAATACATGAGGCAGGTAGTGATATTTCCAGAGCAAGACACAGGTGTACTGATTTCACCCCCAACTAAAGGACCTAATTATTTTTAAGGCTTGTTGCATCTGCAGCCATATTGAAATTTCATTTTTTCAGAAGAGAAATGTACTTTCTGTGAATCTGAACATTTTGATGTGATTTCTATTTAAGATAAATTGTAGGAAATGTCAAGTCTTGTTACTTTTAGAATATCCATTTGTAGGCATAATCACAGGAACAGTGCATGCAAATTAGGCCTACTCTTGCCCTTGATTTTTGAAAACCAGACCCTAAGAGCCCCAATAACTACTTCCCAAGAGTCCAAGGCTGCAGCTCATTTGTATATGAATTTACAAATATTTCATCAATGCTCATAACTAACATTTGCTTATACTTTCCAGATCAATATATAAAAATTGCTTATGGCTGAGACTACCAGCAAAACAAGCAAAAAATCCCCAAGGCATTCACACATGTGCTAGGCATAGCTCACTTAGGTTCTATCTTCTTAGAATCCTAAATCGTGTAATAATTATTCTGTTGGTCAAAATCAGGTCTGTGTATCTTACTTATATGGAGAAACAAGAGTTGGACACATTTGGGGCAACACTGTGCAAAACGATTAGTACTGTTTTACCAAAATAGTGAAGAAAAAGGCTGCCCCTTTCCCAGTCCTCCTATTCCCCACTGTGTCCAGTCCCCTTCTCCAGTGTCCTGCTCAATCTGCCCATTTTCCTAGCCTTCTATCTGCTCCCTGTGACCTAGCCCCTCCCACCAATTTGTCCCCAACTGTGTCCTGAGCCCCACCCCATCTGTCCCGTGTCCTGGTCTCTCCCAGGGGTCCTAGCCTAGATGCCCACTCCATTGAGACTCCAGTCCCTCTGTATCAGTGGGGTAGCCGTGTTAGTCTGTATCCACAAAAACAAGGAGTCCAGTGGCACCTTAAAGACGAACAGATTTATTTGGGCATAAGCTTTTGTGGGTAAAAAACCCACTTTTTACCCACAAAAGCTTATGCCCAAATAAATTTGTTCGTCTTTAAGGTGCCACCAGTCCCTCTGTGTTATCCCTCCCCCCACAGGCTGGGGACTCACCTACCCTATTGCAGCTGCCCCTACACCTGGGTGCCCTTTAGATCATCACCCAGAGGGGTTTGCTCAGGATTGGGGGTAGAATCCAGCTGGGAGGGCATATATAGCCCAGGGCCCCATGCCTTGAGTGTGTCAGCACCTTCTTGGAAAGATTCCTAATGCAGGGGTGGGCAAGGCTGCTAGCTCCTTGGGGTGGGGAGCGCAATGGGGGTCCTTCCAGGAAAGTCTGTTTAAGGAGACCCTTGTTGCTATATTTGCTGCTCTGTGTCACCCCAAAAGGGGAAACTTGCTTGCGGGGGGATGGGAGGGAGGAGCCACAGGGGGTCACCTTTGAAATGTGGTGCTGTTTTAAAGGAGTCACTTAGGTTCCATAAATCTTTTAACCAGATCCTGCGGGGGGGGGGGAAGGTTTTACCCACCCAGGCAGTGCTGTAGTCAGGTTTAGCACCCCACTCCGAGCCAGTCTGCGTGGGCTGGACTTTCCCTTGTGCCCTTATTTTTAACTTTTTCCCCTACTTGGGAGGTGCCTCGCCCTCCAGAGCCCCAAGTATAGGGGGCTCTGCCTCTTGCAGCCCCGCGGTGGGCTTTGCCCCTGAGCCGGCCCCCACGTTGAGCCCCAGTTAGTGCGCGCACGGCGCACGCCGGGCAGCAGGGTCCTGCCCCTTGCAGCGCACAGCCCCCTAGCCTGCGCCCTCCCCCGCGCCTGCGCCAACACAGCTCTCCCGGGCAAGGTGCGGGCTGAGGCGTCGCTCCTGTAACGCGCATGCGCGCGGAAAGCTCGGCGCACGCGCAGTGGCACGTTTCCAAGGTGTTCGACGGTTGTTAGGTCCGCGGGCCGGCCCGAGCCATGTCGGCGGCGCTGCTGAGTCCGGAGCCGGCAGGGAGCGGCGGTAGGTGCCTGGCGGCGGGGAGCCGCCGGTTTCCGGGCCTGATTTGGAAGCGGGAGGAGTCCGGCCGCCTCCACCTGAGGCGGGGGCCGGGCCGGGCCGGGGGCGTTGGGTCAGGGCGGCCGCAGCCGGGGCGGTGGAGAGCCCTGGGCGGGCAAGGGGCCGGGGCTCCCCGGCCTGGCTGAGCTGCAGGGAGCCCCAACCCCCACGCGGACGAGGGGACAAAGGCGGGGGCCCCTTGGCTCGCCCGGGTGGAGGCACGTTCAGAACGAGGGTCCCCTCTGCCCCCCGGATAGTTCGCGGGGAACTCGAGCCTGCGAGCCCCGCTTGCCCGGCCGGGTGGCAGCGTGACCACTAGTCTGCAGCAGAGATGATGCCTCTGGGCTCATTGGAGTCACAGGTGCCTGAGCTCCTTGGCGAAGCGAGCTCTGCTGATGTGACGCTATCCGCCTCGGTACCAAAAATCCTTACGCCTGTAATCGGGACATAAGGTTTGTAACCTGGAACAAAATCCAGAGTAGCCATTGTGTTAAATTGGTTAATTTCACCTGAATTCCTACCTAATAAACGTGGGATGTTCTGTCCCAAACAATAGGTGAGCTATGCCAAATGACTCACAAAGTCCTGCAGGGATGAGAGTGTGACTACTCAAGATGAAACCGTATGAGATGACTTTTTGGTCCTGAAAATTTTCTCCTGCCGTCCATCTCCACCCTCTGACAAACAGAGGCTTGGGACACCATTCTTTACCCGTCCTGGCTAATATCCATTAATGGATTTAACCTCCATGAATTTATCCAGTTCTCTTTTAAACCCTGTTACAGTCCTAGCCATCACAACCTCCTCAGGCAAGGAGTTCCACAAGTTGACTGTGCGCTGTGTGAAGAACTTCCTTTTATTTTTTTTTAACCTGCTGCCCATTAATTTCATTTGGTGGCCCCTAGTTCTTATATTATGGGAACAAGTAAATAACTTTTCCTTATTCACTTTCTCCACATCACTCATGATTTTATATACCTCTATCATATCCCCCTTTAGTCTCCTCTTTTCTAAGCTGAAAAGTCCTAGCCTCTTTAATCTCTCCTCATATGGTACCCTTCCAAACCCCTAATCATTTTAGTTGCCCTTCTCTGAACCTTTTCTAATGCCAGTATATCTTTTTTGAGATAAGGGGACCACATCTGTACGCAGTATTCAGGATGTGAGCATACCATGGATTTATATAAGGGCAATAAGATATTCTCTGTCTTATTCTCTATCCCCTTTTTAATGATTCCTAACATCCTGTTTGCTTTTTTGATTGCCGCTGCACACTGCGTGGATGTCTTCAGAGACCTATCCATGATGACTCCAAGATCTCTTTCTTGATTAGTTGTAGCTAAATTAGCCCCCATCATATTGTGTATATATAGTTGGGGTTATTTTTCCCAATGTGTATTACTTTACATTTATCCACATTAAATTTCATTTGCCATTTTGTTACCCAATCACTTAGTTCTGTGAGCTCTTTTTGAAGTTCTTCACAGTCTGCTTTGGTCTTAACAATCTTGAGCAGTTTAGTATCATCTGCAAACTTTGCCACCTCACTTTTTACCCTTTTCTCCAGATCATTTATGAATAAGTTGAATAGGATTGGTCCTAGGATTTACCCTTGGGGAACACCACTAGTTACCCCCTCTCCATTCTGAAAATTTACCATTTATTCCTATCCTTTGTTCCCTGTCTTTTAACCAGTTCTCAATCTATGAAAGGATCTACCCTCTTATCCCATGACAATTTAATTTACGTAAGAGCCTTTGGTGAGGGACCTTGTCAAAGGCTTTCCGGAAATCTAAGTATACTATGTCCACTGGATCCCCCTTGTCCACATGTTTGTTGACCTCTTCAAAGAACTCTAATAGATTAGTAAGACATGATTTCTCTTTACAGAAACCATGTTGACTTTTGCCCAACAATTTATGTTCTATGTGTCTGACAATTTTATTCTTTACTATTGTTTCAACTAATTTGCCCAGTACTGATGTTAGACTTACCGATCTGTAAGTGCCGGGATCACCTCTAGAGCCCTTTTTAAATATTGGCGTTACATTAACTATCTTCCAGTCATTGGGTATAGAAGCCAATTTAAAGGACAGATTACAAACCATAGTTAGTAGTTCTGCAATTTCACATTTGAGTTCTTTCAGGACTCTTGGGTGAATGCCATCTGGTCTTGGTGACTTGTTACTATTAAGTTTATCAATTAATTCCAAAACCTCCTCTAGTGACACCTCAGTCTGTGACAATTCCTCAGATTTGTCACCTACAAAAGCTGGCTCAGGTTTGGGAAGCTCCCTAACATCCTCAGGCGTGAAGACTGAAGCAAAGAATTCGCTTAGTTTCTCGCAATGACTTTATCGTCTTTAAGTGCTCCTTTTGTATCTCGATCGTCCAGGGCCCACACTGGTTGTTTAGCAGGCTTCCCGCTTCTGATGTACTTAAAACACATTTTGTTATTACCTTTTGAGTTTTTGGCTAGCTGTTCTTCAAACTCCTTTTGGGCTTTTCTTATTACATTTTTACACTTAATTTGGCAGTGTTTATGCTCCTATTTACCTCACTAGGATTTGACTTCCACTTTTTAAGATGCCTTTTCATCTCCCACTGCTTCTTTTACATGGTTGTTAAGCCACAGTTGCTCTTTTTTAGTTCTTTTATTGTGTTTTTTTTTAATTTGGGGTGTACATTTAAGTTGGGCCTCTATTATGGTGTCTCTGAAAAGTGTCCATGCAGCTTACAGTGACTAGAATGAAATCCCTGCACCTTTTAATTTCTGTTCTCTGAAAACATCCACTCAACGTGCAGCAGCAGTCAAAAAAAGCTAACAGAACATTTGAAACCATTAGGAAAGAGATAAATAATAAGACCGAAGATGATATAATACCACTATATAAATCCATAGTATGCCCACACCTTGAATACTGCATGCAGTTCTGGTCACCCCATCTCAAAAAAGATGTATTAGAATTTGAAAAGGTACAGAGAAGGGTAACAAAAATAATTAGGGGTATGGAACATCTTCCATAGGAGGAGAGATTAAAAAGACTGGGACTGTTCAGCATGGACAAGACTAAGGGGGATATGATAGAGGTCTATAAAATCTTGAATGGTGTGGAGAAAGTGAATAGGGAAGTATTATTTACCCCTCCACATAACATAAGTACCAGGGATCTTCTGATGAAATTAATGGGCTGCAGATTTAGAACAAACACAAGGAAGTACTTCTTCACAATATGCCAGGGAATGTTGTGAAGGCCAAATGTATAACAGGGTTCAAAAAAGAATTAGATAATTTCATGGAGGATAGGTCCATCAATGGCTATTAAGGACACTAGATGGGGAGGGCTCTGAGTTACTACAGAGAATTCTTTCCCAGGTGTCTGGGTGGCGGGTCTTGCCCATATGCTCAGAGTCTAACTGATTGCCATATTTGGGGTCGGGAAAGAATTTTCCCTCAAGCCAGATTAGCAGAGACCCCCGGTGGGTTTTTTTTTTGCCTTCCTCTGCAGCATGGGGCATGGGTCACTTGTAGGTTTAAACTAGTGTAAATAGTGGATTCTCTGTAACTCGAAGTCTTTAAACCATGATTTGAGGACTTCAGTAACCACCCAGAGGTTAGGGGTCTATTACAGAAGTGGGTGAGGTTCTGTGGCCTCCAATGTGCAGAATGTCAGACTAGATGATCATGATGGTCCCTTCTGACCTTACATTCTTCATCATCTCATAGACTTTAACCCCATGCTCTGGGTGTCCCTTACCCTCCTGGGCAACAGGAGATGGCTCACTAAATTAATTGCCCGTGTCTGTTCATTCCCTCTGAAGCATCTGCATTGGTCACTGTCGGAAGACAGAATACTGAGCTAGATGGACCATTGGTTGGACCCAGTATGGCTGTTCTTATGTTGTGACAGTGCTGTAGCTGAGCATGGTGCTCTGCAGACAAATAGGAACACATAATTCCTGCTCCCCGAAGAGTTAACAATTTAAGTTAAAAGCAACAGAGGGTCCTGTGGCACCTTTAAGACTAACAGATGTATTGGAGCATAAACTTTCGTGGGTGAATGCCCACTTCCTCAGACGCATGTAATGGAAATTACCTGCCTCTGGAAATTTCCATTACATGCGTCTGACGAAGTGGGCATTCACCCACGAAAGCTTATGCACCAATACATCTGTTAGTCTTAAAGGTGCCACAGGACTCTCTGTTGCTTTTTACAGATCCAGACTAACACGGTTACCCCTCTGAATTTAAGTTAGATGATAAGATGACCCCTGATCCCTCTTCTCACATTCCTACCCCCACCTCTCCTCCCCAAAAGTAAATTAAAAAAAAACGAAACTGTGTGAGAAAATACAGAAGTGTGTAGGTGGGATTTTTTAGATTATGTATTTTTATAAGAACGTAGGACACAGAGCTCTCACTTCATATAGATGTTTAGAAATGAGGAAACTTTTTAATTTACAAGAGAAGAAAAAAAAATGTTTTTCTTTCGTTTTTATATTTATTAAAGCTTATATTTAGTAATAAACTTTATTTTTCATATTCTCTCCAGACATTTCTCCAGCAGAGCCAAGACCAGTGAGAACCTTGGTGTCTTGAGGCAGTGTGGTCTAGTGGGTAGGGCATTGGACTGGAAGTCAGGAGACTTGGATTCAATTCCTGCCTATGTCACTGCCCTCTTGTGTGACCCTGATCAAATCGCTTTTCCTCTCTGTGCCTGTTTCCCTTCCTACCCTTTGCTTGTGTTGTATATTTAGATTGTAAACTAACTTTGGGTCTGACGTTCGTAGTGTGTGTGCGTGCGAGTATGAGAGTACAGTGCCTACCATAATGGGATCCTGATCTCAGTTGTGGCCTCTACGCTCTATTGTAATACAAATAATAGTAATAGTTCTCATGCCTGCTGATGGAGATTGCATTGTGGCGTGAAGCTGGGAGACGTAGCTGTAACACTGCACAATATGTAGATTTCTGGTGTGGACTGCATTGACAAAGCTACAGGCTGGGCTGAGATGTGCTCAGAAATTGTGTTTTCCGCTGGTGGTTGCAATGCCTGTGAAGCATGGGTATGGAAACAAGGTGTCTTAGAAATGTTGTGCGCAGTAGATCTTGGAATTGCCAAGTAGCAATGCAATTTTTGATTATGTAGATGGGCCTCTATCTTACTCTACATTGAAGAGAGTTAGGCGCCTTGGTTTTTTTTTTGGAAGGAGCGCTAATACTGTTTTTGTCTGTTTTCAGAGTCTGATGTCTTTGAAATTGACCTTCCCATCACTATCTTTGTGCTGAGTGATGATGATTTTCTAGACAGTGAAGATGAAGAGCAGGCAATCTTGAGTAGTGATGATATTTTGAAGAGTGAAGAAGAAGAGGTGGCCACTTCCAATGATGGTGATCTAAAAAAAAGCAAAGAGGAAAAGCAGGTGCCTTCAAGTGGTGATGATCTAAGGAGTCAAGTGCAGCCCAGCTTGAATGAAGAAGTTGTTCTAAAGTGTCCAGAGAAAGAGCAGGTTACTCTAAGTGTGTTTGAGAAATTAAATTCACCCCAAGTTTCTTTAAGTGATCAATATGCTCTGGGCAGTAGCAAACTCAGCCAAAATTATCTGTCATGTCTGTCAGCTCCCAGAATGGACCCTGGAGAGGTAAATGGATGTGTCGAAAGCAAAGAATGCAAAGATGACATCGATTGCCAAAAGGTTCCTGTTCCTCTCTCATGTGGTGACAATAAGGATAGGGATGGTCTGACTATTGAGACAACTAGGCAGTTGATTCCAGGAGCAATATTTAAAGATGGAAAGGAACGTGAGACCTCTGCAATCAGTTCCTGTGACAGCACTCAAGAGTGCCAGCCAGCACTCCATTGTAAAGAAGCAGAGAGATGTGTTGAGACTGAAGGTAAGAGAAAGGGAGAGAGAAAAGGACAAAGACATAGTCATGAGCTAAGGTTAAAAAACAGAAGTATGGTATTGAGAGAGATTGGGGAAGAAGTGAGAAAAGAAAGAGGTACAAAACACAGGAGTGGGAAATGGGGAAGAGAAAGGAAGTGCACTGAAGACAGCTCAGGATAAAGTTACACCATATTGTATTATAGGAAAGAAAAAGATTAATAATGGTGGAATTTGATATACTCTGACTTCTGCTATTTGACCACCCCTAGTAGAGGCACATGCAATACATTTATGAAATAGAAAGATGATTGCCAGTGTTATAATGGTACACAGCTGTTCTGTTCCTTTAATTTGGAGTGGAGTGGCACCATGGTGGCACAGGCATTTTCCATCCTGGCTAGTAAACTGAGTCATCAGACTATTAGGCATTAGGTAAATTTTCAAGACCTGTCCACAGAAATGTTCATTCTATGATTGTATGGAGAAATGTGGTACATGATTTACTGGTGTGAATGAAAATGAACTTGGTCTCATTCTCATGCCCAGCACAAAATTTCTGCACAGACTTTGTCCAATCAGCAGTTTGTGCTCACAAGTAGGCCAGGACCAAAATAACAGATGTATTGCAGGTTTAAATTTAAATTTTAAAAATAAATAAATTTAAATTTTTTTTTTTTTTTAATTTTAAAAATTAATGGAGATATCCTATCTCCTAGAACTGGAAGGGAGGGACCCTGAAAAGTCATGGAGTCCAGCCCCCTGCCTTCACTAGGCAGGACCAAGTACTGATTTTGCCCCAGATCCCTAAGTGGCCCCCTCAAGTATTGAACTCGCAACCCTGGGTTTAGCAGGCCAATGCTCAAACCACTGAGCTATCCCTTCCCCCCCCATTGTTGGGGGAAGCTTGCCCTGCACCTCTCCTACATTATTTATACCTCTAGTCAGTGGTTTCAGTCACTAATTTAGCACTTTACCTCATCCTTATTGGTGAGCAAAGTTAAGGGCTATGAAGATATGACTGTTGGTGAATACTCTTGGAGAACCAGTAGTTATGTTGTGTGGTCCACTTCTACTACAGCTGAGTGAAATTATATAAGGAAATCATTTTACCTTTTTTAGCATCAGTGAGTGGCATTCCCTACTCTGAATATAAACTCTGCTGGCAGTCAGTAATTCTCCACTTTTATCACTAGGGCTCTTTTGTTTTCTCCATTTAGCCTATCATAACTTAGGTGGGAGTTACTGAGATCATGCCAGGCTGTAGAAGATTACTGGATGACATGTCACATGTATTTTTCTTACATTTTTAGGTACTGTCCCTTTAGAGACAGCAAAGAATAAAACTGATGACAGAACAAGAATGAGAAATGGCTCTACAGATGAAACTCTGAATTGTGGAATGGATAGCAAACTTGAAGAGCTGAATGCTGTAAAAGAAATAGAGCAAGTCCAAAGTATTTTTTTTACTTGTATTAATGGTGACTTTTCTACAGCAGGAGAGTTGCTAGAAGATGTAGGGGACTTGGCAATGACTACTTGTGATAATCCTGGATTAAATATTTCTGAAGAGTTTATTCATCAGTCTGTAATTCATTCTCCCAGGGAGATGGATAAGCAAGAAGATTGTGATGTTTCTCATGTGATTATAAAACACCCAAATGCAAAGCATCAAGAAGAGACATTCCTACTAGGTAATGAGCATAACAGCGAAGCTCTTTCTATGGGATCTTGTTCTACGTGCAAGCACGAGAAGACACTGAATGTGAAATGCAGGTTTTGTAGCTCTGTGTGTACAAATAAAAATATTCTAAAGAAACATGTTTATTCAGCACATCAGGATAAAAAAATTCACAAATGCTGCTTTTGCCAAAGAAGCTCTTTCTTTTCTGTCAACGTTAAACGCCATCTTAAATTTCATAAGAAAATGACCAGGTTGAAAAATACAAGAAAAGGTAGAAGTATGAACACTGAAAAAGCCAGGAAGGAGAACCCAGCAAAAACACAATCTGCGAATAAAAAAAAGGAAAGTAAGTATGAGAAATTCTTCATCAAAATTGAAAGGGACTGTAAAACTGCAGATGCTCCAGTTATTTTTTCTTGTAAAATTTGTCTCTTTGCTTCACCAGATCCTAAACTTTTTGTTTATCATATGAAGGGACATAAAGGCAGACAACCTTATCAGTGTCCCCAGTGTGACTATTCTTGTGTTAGCTTGTCCTATATGCTAAATCACATGTACTGGCATGCTGGCTATAGACTGTACAAATGCAGGTTCTGTACATTTTTTTCACTGTATTTTGCAAGCATGGTGAAACACAGTTACATTCATACAGGGGCTAAGCCGTATTCCTGTGAATTCTGCCAGTCGTCATTCACAAGCACAAGTGGCTTAAAGAGACACACAAATATACATGCTGGCAAAGAATTGTGCCAAGGGAAGCAACACCTTGGCTTGCCTGTCGAGGGGAAGAGAACTAAAAGTCCTCCAAAGAGCTATACATGTGATCAGTGTAACTTAGTATTTTACTCTAAAGGACTGCTCTGCTTTCATGAGAAATTTCATACCCAAGTTAAAGGCTGTGATGAGAGGTTTGCAAGTGATTATGCAAATGAGAGTAATGAATACAGTAAAAGCAAAGCATGTAAAGATGACAATGATTACCAAAAGGATTGGGTTTCTTCTGGTTCTGACAATAAATGGGATGATCACCTGCTTAACGAGACACATGAAATGCTGGCTTCAGGAGCAGAACTTGAACAGGAGAATGAATTTGAGAGGGATATGAATATATGCTGTAGCAAAAAAACGTGCCAAAGCAGCCAGGGAACCAACAATTTGCCTGTTGTGAGGACTGGATCAGAAACTCTTTTCAGTATTTACAAGAGTGATCAGTGTGATTTAGTGTTTTGCAAAGAGAAGCATCTGTTTTTTCAGAAGGTCACTCATTCACAAGTTCAGGAAGGTAATGAGATAGTTACAAAGGCTCCCAAGGCTGAGGAAAATGCTAAGTGTATTGATGTACAGCCTCCTATTGGGCCTTCTCACAAACTGTTCAAGTGTCAACAATGTGATTATTCCACTTATATTTTTAGCAACCTTAAGCTGCATTTTAGAATACACACTGGCGAAAAACCATTTGAGTGTAAAGAGTGCAACAAGATGTTTCGCACCTCCAGCCATTTGCGGAGACATAGTCTTATGCACATAAAGAAAGGTCAAGAATGTGACCATTGCCATTATTTGGGCAGCACTTCAGACGATCTTAAACTGCACTGTGAAATACATAAGGGCACCTGCCCTAAAAGGGAAGATCTTATTTCCTCAAAAGACGTAAAGTGTGTCCGTTCCATATTCAGCTCAGAAGACCTTCAGAAACAGAAGGATGTTCATGAGGGCAAAGAAAATGAACATGTTCTGCCATCACGAAGTCTTTCACAACTTTACAAGTGTGAACAGTGTAATTACATCACTTATGTTTTAAGCAACCTCAAGCTACACACAAGGATTCATACAGGTGAAAAACCCCACAGCTGTGACACTTGTCAGAAGAAGTTTCGTACTTCAGGTCATCTAAATCGACACAAGCTTGTGCATTTAAAGATGGAACGCCTCAAATGTAGGAACTGTGACTATTCAACAGACAAATGGCAATCCCTTAAGTGGCATTTGGCTTCACACTCAGATGAAAAAAACCTGGCTGGTAGCAAAGTCCAAGAGCAATCGCTGCTACCTGTCAAAATATACAAGTGTGAAGAGTGTGGCTATGCTACTGCCCATAGTGGAAACTTCAAGCAGCATTTGAGAATTCATACAGGTGAAAAGCCATACAAATGTGATCAGTGTGCTCTTGCTTTCCGCACTTCTAGCCACCTGAAGCGCCACTTACTAACTCATTTAAAGTTACGCTGCAACGAGTGTGAGTTTTCCACTATAGATAGGTGTGCTCTGGAGAAACATGTAAAAACACACAAGGATAAAAAAATGTACAAATGCCAAAAGTGCAATGTAACACTTTCCACCATACATCTCTTAGAGAAACATAAGAAACAGCATTTATAAACTGGAAAATAAAACTGGGATTTGTTAAAATTCCCGAGTTACAAGCTTAGATCTAGAAAGTTTGCAGTAGTTTGAACTTGCACCTTGGCAGAAGAGCACAATTTCTTCCTCTCTTTGCCCTGTATCCCACCTATATGAAATGTCTTCAACTGGCACTAGGTAAAATTGGCATGGCAATGATTATGGACCAGACTCCTGGGTATTCCCACGGCATATAGAGTGGAAGTCAGGGGATGGTGTGGAATGCTGACATAAAACACTGCCCTATTGCTATGAGCATTACTTCCACTGCTGTGTTAAAGAAGCCTCAGAGCTGTTTCTATATTATGCTGCCCTATAAAAGTAACACAGGGCTGTTAAACTATCTCAGATTGGAGTGTTCAGACAAACTTCTGCTAATGCTCAACTATTCAGTAAGCGCACTTTATACCACTATGCTGTCAGCAAGGAAGAGGGTGTGATGTCAGCGCTCCTACACTGGCTGTACTCCACTGCTGGGTCACCCTTATACTAAGATCTTCCTGTCCCACTTACTTGGGTTTTACAACCAAAATATGCTGTCTTTCTGAAAAGAATTTAAATCAAATTCTTCTCTATCACAAATCAGTAATCTGCAGATCCAAAATCTAGTTACAAATTAGTCCTACCTATTTGCTACCACCTGCACTCACTGCTCTGAAGTCCTGCAACTACTGATCTTGCCACACCTACCTAATACTGCAAGAGGACTGAATCAAGAGGGTGACTTACAAAACCACTAGTTACTATAATTGATTATATACGCACATATATAAACATGCCCACTCTGCGTTTTTATAAACACACCCCAGAAAACAAGTTACTAATGTGGATTCAGCATTGGTGAGTGCTGCTGCATCAGTAGCTTTTGAGGCTTAACTCTTGATTTGGACTCTGAGTAGAAATGTCCTTAAAGTTTTGTATTGCTGTCCTTCAAAGGTCTAATCCTGTAAAATACTGTGCCCCTCAAAGCACTTTGCAAGATAAGTTCCAAACTGTTTGCAAGTAGGAAGCACAAGATATAAACCTACCATTTGATGCCTGCTTTCCAAGTGTTCTGTTGCATATCAGAAAATCTCCTTCATTAAGAGGATTTGATGGAAAAGCTGTGGATCCATTAAGATTCCAGTTTTAAACTAATGTCTCCTTAAAGGTGACTTTACTAGAGCTGCTTGTTTGCTCATGTTCTTTATTGTTGATACAGGTCACTATCAATGAAGTGTTTATTCCAAATGTCTGTCTCGGACTGTGGGTCAAACCTTTTTCTTTCTTTTAGATGAAGGAAATGACTCCGTTGATTTAAATACATTTGGCAAAATGCTGGTATAGTTTTTCAGAAACATTCAAGTTTATACTTTTCAGTGCTGCCTGTATCTTTTGAAGATTCCTCTGTTTGCCCTATACAAAGGACAAATAAGGGAAACGTAGTATGTATATTAAACAGTTTAGTTAACGTTTTTAAAATGTTTTCATGGTTTTGATGCATTTTCCTAACATTAGGCTCAAGTGCTTAAATAATTTCCCTTTTGCCAAAGGTGGGTAAAATTCAGTTTTTGCCATTAAAATATTTAATTTTGCCCTTATAGGGAGATATAGTTGAAGGAACCATAGTAATGTTAAGGAACACTGTGGTAATGTTAAAGACGTTCATGGAAAAATTGGTAAATCTTTTTCTAAACATTTTGATATACTGCCTCAAAGCAATTTCATTAAATCATGTTATACTGTCTCTTTAAAATTGCATGTGCAAGGTCCACTCAAGCAAAGAGCTAGCTCAACAAAGTATCTAGCTACACCTTAGTAAAAATACAGCAAGTGGGAGAGCCAAGAATGGAATTGGGGTTTTTCTTTCATGCGGTAAGAGTAGGTGTTACTTGAGCATCTGCAATGTATGGTGCTAAGATTTCCCCAGCACTACTTGCACCAGGGGATTTGTAATGGCAGAACTTTGTGCCCAGCATCTGTTACAATTACTGAAAGGATTAAGAGACTGGTAAATTAAAAGAAAAACTCTAGGGGATTCTTGGTATTCCCTTCTTTAATCTCCTATTTGAAGCCACAAGACAGGAAAGTTGCACTGCAGACTAAGTAAAACTAGAAAACAAGAGAGCATGAAGTATGGGAACCTAAGGTGAGAACTGGAGACCAAATGTACCTTATGGTCTTCCTTATTAATATGGAGGTGTAGCATAGAGACTACAGGTTTCCAGCACAAGCTGCTCTCTTGATCTGAGGAGAGGGTGATGGTCTCTCGGCTGCACCTCCATATTACCAAAGAGTGTGGCTGCAGTGTGCTCCATTTTACGGAATTAGGAGCAGCCCTCAGGCTCCCATCAAACTACTTATATAGCCTCTGAATAGGGCATAGTTTGGCCTGAAAGATATTCACATCTTTCCTGATATTTCCTATAGCAGAGGTGTCTGTTTATGCTGTAGAGTCTACATTTGAAACATAAAAAGCTTTCTTAATTTGATTTATAATTGAAACCACAAATTCTGAAGAAAGCAGCAAAAATCAATTTAAAAGGGCAATTTATGCACTATGCCAGTGGGGCCCCCTAGTGCTCTCTAGGTATAACTGCACATGCGCCATTGTTTTTGATCTTACCTATTCTAAACATTGTTGAAACATCGGAAAAGAGTGAATAGCCTTGCCAATGGGAAAAATGTGGTAATGACAGATGATTTCTACACTTTAGTCCTGTTTTTGTATGCCATGCACCACAACTCTTATTACCTTGCATTGTGCCTTTTCCAGAGTATAGAGTATTATAAAATTTCATCTTTGTGAAAAGTAAATGGGTATAGGTGAATTACATCATTTCATGTAATCAGTTAGACCACTTCATTTATCTATTAATGGAGGCATTTGGGTTAAAAAAAAATTAAAAATATTACAATAAGGTGAAGGCTGTTCCATGTTGTTTCTTGGTATCAGAGTTCAGTGTGCAAAAGGATTATTAATATACATTATATGGAAGTTTGGTGTGTGCTTTGTAGTAAGAGCAAGCAAAAGATTGTGAATTTATATAAAAATGATGGTCCTTTTTGAAATAAAAGTACATTTGGAGGTCTCTGGAACAAATGAAGTACACTCCTTTACATTTTCTTGCATATAAAAGGCTTTCAGGGTACATGAATGTCGATATATGTGAAGAGAATGTTCCTGATCCATGTCATATGTTTCTTATCAATAAAGATGTTCTTTTGTAAACAACCATTAATCACCCGAACTTAAATTTTATGGTCTGCTTAGTAACTGATTCTAGAACGGGTTGTATTCAACTAGAGAAATATTTAGAGGACCAAATTTTTGTCTCATTCAAGTAAATAGTCCTATTGATTTCACTAGACTACTCATGATTCAGACAGGCAAGGATTACGTAAAAATACTGTGATCTGTATAAGTAGCAATGATTTCTACTTTTTTTTAAATAATAAAACACATTGTCAAATAATGAAAGGATATTGCCTACTTTGCTGTGAAAATGAAAGAGGGTCTTTACAACTACTTTCTTCACATCCACTTAATGACCATGGTGGAAAGCAAATGGTAAGATCTGCTATCTTCATTTAAAGTTTAACTACAGTGAATGGTTGTATTTTTGGATAGCTACTTAGCTTTCTTTAGTTAAAACTAGGTGTAGTGTGTACACTGTAAAGGAGTGTAAATAAGGAATAACAGGAAAACTAATTGTGCACAGCATTAAACACCACAGCTCTTAAGAGAAAAGAGAGCTTTACCTACAGTGTCTCACTGCAATTAAAGAGCCAGTGTTGCAATACAAAACCTTTTAGAAATTCCTACTGTCTCCATAACTATAAATGTATGTGTATGTCAGTGAGAGTTGCTAATTTCATACTTTCCCTTCCCAATCTGAAGTTTATCTCATAATTCATTACAAACAGGCATTTATTCTGCCTATCATATACAGTATGTAATCTGTATCTTTTTACTGATAGGGAAACTGAGGCAAAGTGATTATGTGACCTGCCAATGATAACATAGGAAAAGCAAGTATATCTGAAATCTGGGCTGCTTCCAACTGACTAGAACACTTTGGCTAGTTTGTAATCATGTGAGCTTGCAAGTTGCAGTGCAAAAATATCTTCTTATGCTGAAGCAGAACAATTTCTTCAGTAGAAGAGGAATTTCAATTATATAGAATCATAGAATATCAGGGTTGGAAGGGACCTCAGGAGGTCATCTAGTCCAACCCCCTGCTCCAAGCAGGACCAATTCCCAACTAAATCATCCCAGCCAGGGCTTTGTCAAGCCGAGCCTTAAAAACCTCCAAAGAAGGAGACTCCACCACCTCCCTAGGTAATGCATTCCAGTGCTTCACCACCCTCCTAGTGAAAAAGTTTTTCCTAATATCCAACCTAGACCTCCCCCACTGCAACTTGAGACCATTGCTCCTTGTTCTGTCATCTGCCACCACTGAGAACAGCCGAGCTCCATCCTCTTTGGAACCCCCCCTCAGGTAGTTGAAAGCAGCTATCAAATCCCCCCTCGTTCTTCTCTTCTGGAGACTAAACAATCCCAGTTCCCTCAGCCTCTCCGCATAAGTCATGTGCTCCAGACCCCTAATCATTTTTGTTGCCCTCCGCTGGACTCCCTCCAATTTTTCCACATCCTTCTTGTAGTGGGGGGCCCAAAACTGGACACACAACTCCAGATGAGGCCTCACCAATGTCGAATAAAGGGGAATGATCACGTCCCTCGATCTGCTGGCAATGCCCCTACTTATACAGCCCAAAATGCCGTTCGCCTTCTTGGCAACAAGAGCACACTGTTGACTCATATCCAGCTTCTCGTCCACTGTGACCCCTAGGTCCTTTTCTGCAGAACTGCCACCCAGCCATTCGGTCCCAATGGCATCCACCTCGCCATGCAGCTGCCCCGGGATCTGTGGGGTGGAGGGAATGTTGTCTGGTAGTCAGAGCTCAGGACTAGGAGTCACAACTCCTCGGTTCTATTGTCCAACAGTCCCGCCCTTGGCTTGCTGTGTGACCTTGACCACTCTCTGTGACTCAGTTTCCCTGGCCCCAAGCTGGCCTTCTGCCCAGGGGAGAATTTCACCCATAGTGACCGGAGTTCTCCAAGGTACATACAACCACCTCCAACTCCACAGCTCGACACTCCTTCTCCCGCGGATCTGAGCCTTTTAAGACAGTCTCTGAGCTGCTGATCGCTTTGGATCCAGAGGCAAGCTTTGGTGGGGGTGCATGAAAACTCTGTGGGCACGGGGGTGGGGGAAGTTACACCTTGTGTAAAATTAATATGGCTAATATAATGTTATGGAAATTAAACTATTTCCCAGGACATGTGCAGTGTATATTAAAAAAGGGGTAAAAGAAATGCAAACAAAACGTGGTACTTAATTAAAATCCTATTAGGGCTCCAAAAGAAGCCACAATAAATTGTGCTTTCTTTTTCAAATCTCTGTGTGTTTTAAAGCAGGAGATGAAAGTGAAAAGTCATGAGAACTCTGGTGGAAGTGAAATGTGTCCCTTTTAAGACAGTCTCTGAGCTGCTGATCGCTTTGGATCCAGAGGCAAGCCAAGAAAGCCTCTGTGTAAATGCAAAGTACCTAACTGATGGGGGAAGAAGAAAACTACCCATAAGTAGCAGCACAAAAAATCTGGAAATAATAAATCCATCTGGTCAGCAAACAAGCTACTAGAAGACTCAGATTATGGCCCTCCAGAAGAGAGAGGTGAAAAAACAAGTCAAGCCTGAAAATAAGGGGGACAGGTTAACCCTAAGGGGTGTGTGTGTGTGTGTGTGCGGGGGTGTGTGTGTGTACAGAGCAGAAATCTGAAGCTGTCTCTCAGCTATTACCTGAAAATAAACTTAAAGCTTAGTACAGCAAAAAACTATTGCAAACCTGGTCTGTTGTATAAGAGGGGAAACTGAGGCACACCACCTCACCTATTTCATAAATGACCAGTGAGTGGGGTAATTCACTAGCCTGACTATAAAACAAAATAAGAACAGCCTAAAGGTAATTCTTCTGTTTTTCCTGCAATTAGCAAGGACATTTGTAAAAGGAATTGGAATTATTATTAAGCAATATTCTGTCCCCACCAAAGGGGGTGGAAATGGTTTCTTTTGTTTTTCAGACACTCTACAAGCATGCTGGCACCAGCGAAAGAAGAACCCAGAATACCATGGATCTAGGTTTTGTGGTGTTTGTCTCGCTGCTAGCATGACGTGGGTGGGGGATGGCTTCAAAAGGCTGAAGGGGTGGAAAATGTGTACGAAAACACAAAATGCTCAACTAGGAGGCCAGCACCTGTGTAACAGCTACCATGGTACCTGAAAATAGAACGGCAACTAAAATGATGCTTGCTAAAAGTTTACCCCAATAAACATCAAATTGTTTGCGCCTTTGAACTTCGGGTATTGTTGCTCTCTGTTCATGCAAGAAGAACCAGGAAAGTAAAAGGGTAAAAAAATAAGCCCCCTAACACTGGGGAGGGGCTGCAGGGAGCCAGGGTCTTGCTCACCTCTGATGCCTGCAGTCCCTTTGTGATGTCAGGACCCGCCTGGTCCTGGCCCTTTATGATGCGTCACTGGAACAAACAGCCCCTCGGGAGAGATCCAGTGGCAGCACCAGCAGGGAGCCCAGTGTCCAGACCGTCCTCCCCAGCATGAGGATGGGGATCACGCCGAGCTGGTTCTGTGCCTGCTGGGGCAGCTCCTGGGTGTTGGACATCTGCGCCCTTCTGGTCCTGGTCATCTGGGTGGCCATGGCGACCCAGCACAGTTTCTCCAGGAGAAGCAGGAAGGTAGGAGGACCCCGCCCCCAACCCCCCTGCAGCCGTCCTACACTCTCAGCAGAGCTTGCCTGGACACAGCCCCATGGAAGGGTGGGTGGGTGGGAGCGCCCGAGGGCCCGTGTTCTGACCAGGCCCCATTGGGCTGGCAGGACACATCCACAGAGAGAGACAGGGCCACAGACCGAGCTTGTGGCTCCATTCATTGGTTGTTCCTTACTGCCCCGACCACCCCAGCTAGTGATGATAGAACACTTGCTGCTACCTAATATAAGACATACCTGTGGCATTTTGTCCCTGCTGGGGTCTCCAT